AAAAATAGCATTTATTTGACATGTTTGCTGTTGTTGAGCTTATTCCTGCCCATCTTTTCCTTCAATCCCCTCATCTGACCTCAGTATACAACCAACACTGATCTCAACGTGAGGAAATTATTTCAAAAGAACAGAAAACGAGTGTGACACGACATCTCTCCACAAACTTTTACTTACATTTTAAGAATAGGAAACAATCATAACATGCATTTGAAAATATGATTTGCTGAAAACAATTTTTGTCGTTGAGAACTGGAGAGAGCAGCACCCTATGAATTATCTTTTCAGTAAAGGACTTTCTCCCTCTCAGCTCTTGTGGGTTTAGGTAATTCTGAAGAAATTGCAGGAAAAGTCAAACAAGGAACATCGCTTTCCTGGTAGATTGAGTCCCCCGGAGTACACAGTGACCTAGTTCTTTTCCTGAGGATATTGAACCAGCTCTTAAAACTTATCAACAGGAAACATTTCATGAGCCCTGTAACTGCAGGAAGTGTGAGCAGTGTAATGGGAGCATTTGCTTTCGGGATAAACGCAGATTATGGAATAAGTAGATGAGTCTAGTAGGTTAAGTCAGGGTTGGCCTTAATATTTGGGAGTCAAATACCTTGTAAAGGGATTCTTGTCACTTTTGAAGAATACATAAAAGCAGGATAACCTGACTTAAAGTGTACATACCTTTTATTTTTATGCAAGCTTCATTGTATGAATAGCTTCTTGGAATCTAATAATAGTATGTATTCTTAGTCTATCAATATTACTATTCCAATGTTTTTCTTTTTACATTTAATGTACTTCAGCCATTCCATATAACAAAACCTCTTTACATTTGTACAACAAACTTTCATGTTCCCTTTTCTTAAAGCTAACTTGGAACTCAATGGAGTGAATCAAAGATACTCAGTTCATTATAGGTGAGAGTATGATACTAAACTGGTTATCTCAGGGCTGGGGCCTGATCTCTTACCACTGCCTTGAGAAAGGCCTAGGTATTATGGGTCAAAAGCAACCTGCAGGAAAGAAAAAATCTTCCCCCATAATATCTGTGTGGAAAGCAGCATGGCCCCCGAGGAAATGTGTAGGAGCTCATGCTGGTGGCACTGAGATAAGATTCTGACTTGTAAATACTGCACCAAACACTGGCAGGGTGACATCAGCTGGAGGATGTTTGCCTTCTGCTTCATTGTACTTTTTCTTAAAAGAGTTATTAAATGCTTCCTATCCTTTCTCCAAACATAGCTCCATGACAATACTTTGAAGAATCTTGAAGACAAACAGTCTTTACTACTAATAAGTGCTATTGTTTCTCCTTTATTCCAGGTTAATTATATTCAGCTGCCAGCGGCCAGCTGTGCAAACCCAACACAGGAGACAATTTACACTAGGTTTTCTTTGCTATTCTCCTTTTCTAGGTGCAGCAGAAAACTGGAGAAAATCCTTTTTGTTGAAATTCAAACCATTTAAACTCCAGACCAAGGGTAAACAAAGGAAAAGAAACCCAAAAACATGCCCTTCCCATTCGTGAAGGACCTTATCATTCAGAGGTGACCTGTTACAATAGACTGCTGGGTTCATTTAAATGACTGACACTGCCTCGGTGACCTAGGGTTTATTTTACCTCATTGATTGAAGTGGGCTTTTTGTTATAAAGACAGAAAGATGAGAATCTAACGTAGCTCAGCTACTCCTTTTGAAAAATGAAAAGTTAAATGAAATTATATTGACTTTAGCAAGTATTTGATGAGAATCTACTTTGTAGTAAGATGTTCTGGGGATAATAGGGGATAATAAGTGGTAGAAAAGTAATATCACAATAATAATAATTAGGAAGGAAATTGTCTTTCTCTAGATCACAAGATACTTTCCTATCAACTGTCTCATGGGAACAAGCTAATTCATGTTCAAAGAGCCTGCAAACTTAGGACACGGATTGTCTATATATTTATTTGAGAAGATTCATTAACTTTAAAACATATACTCTCTCTAGAAAGCTTGACATTTTACATATAAAACTTATCTTTGCAATATTCTCATAACATGAGAAGGGGTCATTTTTTACCTGGAACACACAAATAAGGTTGATGATATGTATATTAATGATTTAATCCTCAAACAGTATTTTGAAATAAGTCTGTTATTATTTTACAGTGAAGAAATTGAGGCCCAGAGAGATGCATTTAAAGGTTCTGCAGTGTTAACTTTGAGTCCAGGCCGTGAGCCCTTTGACTGGTGAGCGGTGGGACGGGCAGCTGTCCTTGACGGAGACACCCTGGTGCTGCCAGCCTGACTGTTCCTTCCGCTTACCTGAAGTGCTAGTGGTTCACCTTCCGTGAGAATCCTACAGCCATGAAAAGGGTGTTTATCTTACAGGAAACAGACGGCAGCCTGTCTTCCTTCCAGTTTGAAAACCTGTATCTCCAACCTCCCACCTTTCAAGCCCAATAATATAATGCCTACAAGCCTAAAACATGCACAGAGTTATATGGCAAGACAGCCCGTTTAAAAGGCCACATTTATGTATTTATTTTTTGAGAATCAGTCAGCTAGAACTACATCACCTTGGCAATTATTTACAGATTTCTGTATGGATTTCATTGTCTCTGTAGACTAAAAAAAAGGAAGAGGAAAAAAAAGAATGGAAATTATTTTTCTTCAGTTTGTTCAAAAACCTGTAGGGTTTTGTCCTCTGTAGCTCTAAATTAGTTTTATTCTTAGCAAACTGAACAATGTCAAATGAGTGTCTGGAAGGTATTGACGAACGTTACCTTGTATAAAAGCAACAGTAAGTCTTGAGTCCCAGGTAGGCGGCTTCATCGCTCAAGCACTGGTTTAATTCTACACTTGCTCTGTGTCCTTTCGGAGTAGGGGTTTTCCAGTGACCTGTTCCAAATGCTTTGTAAGAGATCCCTTCGAGCACAATTTCTTTCAGACAGAGGATCTTAACGCATACTTCTCACAAATAAAATACTTCCAAACGCTGCAGTTAGCAGGAGAGAGGAACTTGTCCTTGAGATACCCACACAGCTAGCTGGTTAGTCGACTGGGGTGTCTGTAAAGGCGACCTGGAGAGGCAAGTCAGTGTATCTGAGGTTAGGTCTGGGGTTTATGGTGAGGGGTGTGTAGCTTTTCATTTTAGTTTATTTTGTTTTAATATGGCACCTTCTGCAGTATTTGTCCTCCATTAATAAAGGGGCTGTTTTCTCTCAATAAAAGCATGTTAATGTTTTTCAACAAAATGCATGTTAAAAAATAGATACAGAAAGTAGGCTCTACATTAGAATTTCTTTCCTAACTCTTAATTCTCAAAATAATAAGGCAGCCCTGTTCACCAGTCTCTCTGGTTGTTTCTGAAAAGCTTAATATGGAAATTGCTTAATAACACCTATAGTCTCTAGTCGTTAACTGATACAAAGGAAAGGTTCTTGATAATCATATAATATTTTTCATTCAGACTCTCAAATTTTGATGTGAATGTGTTTGGGGGTAACGGCAGCAAAGCCACTTAAACTACCTTGGCTTTGATTCAGTCAGAAGCCTGAGAAATGATCATGGCTGGGTATGTCTCCTGGAGGAACTCGGAGGTGTAAAATAAAATGAGCTTTTGAATTCTCCCAGGTTTCTGATTTTTCTTGGCACACGTCTATCAGACACTTACAGGTCAGGGGAAGGGGCGGAGCCGTCTTGCCAAAGCCACGGCTGACTGAGTCCGTCCTGGGACAGCCCCACCCAGTAACCACGGCCACTTTGGATCTTCCCCAGGCTGCCGGCGATAAAGTCCTGCAAGAAACAAGATTTGAACAGGGAACCGAGGGGTAAAAAAAAAGCCCCACAACAAATGACCATGAAATGTGAAGGGCAGCGTTTTGCCTTAGGCAGAAGTGAATCGGGATCTAAGAGCGGGAGAAAGAGAGAGGGGATATATTTTATACACTTTTTTTCTCTAGTCATATGTTCAATGCAGTGTTAAGGATTATGGGAAAAGTAGGCATCCGGGATTCAAACTGTTTAACAGATTCAGTCTGGCAGACAGTATGTCAAAAAAAAAGGGGTGTGTCCTACTGAACCCTTATTAAAAGAAGTAAAAATATCCTTGACATCGATCATTCTTTTCCAGTATACTTCAGTAAGAGAGATCATTTAGAAAATTCTAGAAGCAACTTAATGCAAGCATATTTTGTTAGAAGAAACATAACTTACACACTTTTTTGTCACCAGATTTGCACAGGAAAAATAGTGTGAGCCTATAACAGTAACATGTCAGTTCAAGCTGCCTTGGTTGACCGAACATCCTTAACTTGTTCTCCCGTCATTCTTGAAAAATTAACTTTGACTAATTACTGAATATAACAGGCATACATTTTTAATAAGGTCAGAGTTACATAACCATACATTCTACTTCACACAAATCTATGAATATAATGATTTCAGGGAGATATCTTATTGTTCACTTGTTAAGATGTTAGTAAACTAGGTTTAATATCAATTAAACATCTCATTTAATAATTGCTTATTTTCATAGACCTGTCCATTTCATGAGATCACTTCACAGTTGTAATGTATGTTTATCTGGAGTTCGGCTACATGTCAACATGATTCCTTTAACCTCCCCCCATTTTTTTATTTTTTTATTTTTATTTTTTATTTCTATTAAGGTATCATTGATACACACTCTTATGAAGGTTTCACATGAAAAACAAAGTGGTTACTACATTCACCTGTATTATCGAGTCCCCCCCATACTGCATTGAAGTCACTGTCCATCAGCATAGTAAGATGCCACGGGTCACTAGTTGTCTTCTCTGTGCTACACTGTCTTCCCCAACTTTCCCCCATTTTTGATTAACAAAGGACATAGAAATAACATACTCTCTTTGATTTCTGGATAGTCATTTTGTTTTTTTGTTTGTCCAATTAAAAGGAGAGCCAACCATACTAATTCTTATTTTGTCTCTTTTTAATCCTTTATTAAAACAAAAACACTTCTGTTATAGAATAATTAAGGAATCTGTCTTACTGGAAATACGTTTTTCTTTTAGTGGTTAATATGGTATTGTCAGAATGATACATAACTGTAAAACATTATTTACCATTTCTTCTTTGCTGTCTATTTGTAGAAGATTAGCGCCTTCTTTCAAACAATCCTCTTTACTGCTGTGCCAAATTTTCCAGTTTTCAAAGACACAGTAACAACTTTCTCCATTCTGTATCCAATTGTCTGGACAAGGGCTGCAGTTATAGCCCTTGAATATAAACATTTTACTTTATTAGTGTTCTTGTAAAAATATTAGTAGCACATCTCAAAAGAATCCCTTTCAGTACCCCCCTGTAAAGTTCAACACTCTAATGAAATAGTTCTTAGGATGATACTTGCCAATTTCAGGTTCCCAGAGACTAGAGTAAAATCTATATGATTTTTTCCAACTGCAAAAGGTCTCTAAGAATTAGTTTGAGGCAAAATTAATTTGGAAATACTTTTCCCCTGTCCCTCTTTTTAAATAATTGATCTGGTAATTCTGATTTTATAAATCTTTTCTTTCTTTAAATTTACATCCTTTGCAGCCTTCATTTGTTTGCTTATTGTTTTGTGTCTGTTCATCTTACTGGCCCAGTTTAATTCGGAATGTCCTGGAGCATTAGGCAAGTTGAGTAACCAGACTCGAGTGGATGTTTAAACTCTGAGAATTAAACATAAGAATATTTCACATAAAATGAAGAGAAGAAACAGTGTACCTTATGGAGTGATTTAAAAATATGTGGATGAGGAAAACTGAAGAAAAACACAGGTGACTGGTTCTTATCTTAGGACTCTGATGTACCTGAGAAGAAAGCCATAATGTTTAATCATTTCTATGGAAACTGTTGCAAGAAAGAATGTATTCACAAAAGGATGCTCAAATGTGTAAAAGGGGAATCAAAGAGCAGAATTAGACTGAGGGTTTCTGGAAAGACACTAAAACTTCCAGAACTCTAGTTTCTGGAGAGAGATCTTCAATAGGTCACAAATAGTTCATTATCAGTTTCCATAGCCCAGATGTTGAGTTATTTAAGTCTTTTCAATACTCCTTATCTGGAATCCATGCTAAAGAGAATCATGCAAATGGTTAAAGTTACAGCATAGTGTTGACATTGGCAGTTGAAGGCTTGGAATGCATATTGGATTTGTAGGTCTCCAAAATGGATACTGCCTCTCATTCAAGGTTGGTGGCTCAGAGGTGGGCCTAACTCATGCTTGCAATGACCTGTTACAGTTAAAACGTTGGGCACAAAGTGATTCTTCATACATTTGCTTGACTACATTTCAACCAGAAGGAGCTATGTAGTAGGATTCTGACCTCTCTCATTGCTGATTACTTAAATGGTATCCATTACAGGGAAGTTAATTCTCCAAATTATGTGTAGTATTATTAAATGCTAATTAAATAATCACTGAATGTTTGAAAACTATTGAACAGGTAGAAATAGACTGTTTAAAAATGTTTGTAAGAATTGCAAAAGATAAAATTGAAATAACTTCATAGAATTTTGAAAAAGAGCTGAAGCCTTCATTGTTATAATTTTATAGTAATTTTCAAAACGAATCTTCTGCTCAAAGAGATAATTAGCTAAATTTGAATATAAAGCAATATCTAAATTAAATATATTAAGGAATTTGGATCTCTATATAAACTTATAAATTTTAGTGATTGGACAAAACATAGAATGCTGCTTTTTATTTTTTTAGTCCAATCTGCTAATCTCACACATTTCCCTTTGAAATTTGACTACGTGTTTTCTTTATCTGCGTTTCTTGGAACCTCAGTATTTTCCACATATATTGAGATATACAAATAAGATTAAACTTCAGAGTCCTATTATAAAATCCAGACTACAATTTTATCATTAAGAATTTTTATAATAAAGACAGAATTTTATAATAAAATGAAATGTGCATCACTGTTTCTTTTGAGGAATTGGTGCCTACATTGTATTTGCACAGTGGAAACTGATTTTATACCAACTACCTGAACAGAAAGAGTTTTCAATGAAGGTTTGGCAATATTTCATCTGGAGGCTGTGGTTTCTCTGCCACTGCGTGAGGGTCAGCAGTGCTCTGTCCTGTTGGGTAAGTTTTTCTTGCTGCTTCATTACGATAGCAGACACCTGGAACACTTCAAAAACACCAATCATTCCTCATAAATATGGACAAATTATAACAAAGTAATCCTTCAACACAGACTAAAGACAACTACTAATTACTGATTATTTTTGTGATTTTAATATTCATTACTTTAAGTTTTTAAAAAAATTTACATTGTTCAAGAATGAAAAACCACAAAGGATGCACAGCAAAAAGTCTCTTTGCCACCCTGTTTGCTTCTTTGCCCAATTCCAATACCCAAAGCAGTCGGGCTTACCAATACCTTTTTTATTCTTCCAGAGATATTTTGAATTTTGTGAGCAAATGAATGTGAAATGCACTCTCTTCTCTTTACACAAACAGTAGCAATCTGTTTACATGCCTTTGCACCTTTTATTTTATCATTTAAAATATATTTTGGACATCACTCTGTATCTATACACAAAACTTTCTCCTTCTATCATCAGAACTGTATAGGATTCCATTATATGGATGTATCATGATTTATTTTAGTCATTTTCATTGACTTTTGGGCTATGTGTAATCTTTTGGTACTACAGAAATCAATACTGTAGTGAAGAAACTTAGTCATACATAATTTCACAAATGTGCAAGTATATTTTTAAGGTAAATTATGCAGTCAAAATTTCTTCCTGCCCTTCCCCCTCTTTAATCCCTGGTAATCATTCGTGTTCTGTTTTGATAATTTTGTATTTCACTGATGTTATAGAAATGTGAACATACATCATATAACCTTCTGTGATTAGCTTTTCTCACTCAACATAATTCTCTGTAGTTTCATCCAGATTGTTGTGCAGATAAACAGCTCATTCTTTTTTGATGGATGAGTTGAATTCCATGATACGGATGTACTGTAGTTTATTTAACTGTTCACTTACCGAAGGACATCTGGATAGATTTCAGGTTTGGGTCATTGCAAAAAAGACTGTCATGAACATTCACGTGCGGGTCTTTGTGTGAATACAAGTGTTCATTTCTCTAGGTAAATGTCCAGGAGTGCAATTGCTATGTTGTAAGCATGTGTCAAGTTAAGTTTTTCAAGAAGATCAAAATCGCTGCACCATTTTACATTCCCACCGGGAGTGTGTGAGTAATACGCTCTGCAGTATCACAAGCATCTGATGCTGTCACTGGCTCTTATTTCAGCCATCCTCTGGGTGTGAAATGATATCTCACTGTGGTTTTAATTTTCATTTCCATAATAGCTAGTTAGGTTGAGCTTGTTTCCTTGTGCTTATTTGATACCTATCCTCTTTGGTGAAATCTCTTTCCATGTCTTTTGTGCATTTTCTAATAGGATGGTTTGGTATTTTAATGTCGAGTTTTGAGAGTTCTTTCTATATTCTATATTCTAGTCTGTTATTGACATGTGGTTTGCAAACATTTGTTCCCAACTCTTAAATTTTTGATCCTCTTCGTAGTGTCATTTTCAATTTTGATGAGGTCCAGTCAGTTTGTCGATTTTTCAGCCTATTAATCATTCTTTGGTTGTCAAATTTAAGAACTCTTTGCCTCGCCTTAGATCCTAAAGATTTTCTACTGAATTTTTAGACTAAAATTTCTTTAAGTTTTATGATTTCTATTTATAAGTCTATGGTCCATTTTGAGTTAATTATTTTTTTATAAGACATGAGACTTAGGTTGAGGTTTTTTGTTTTTTTGTCTTTGTTTTTCCTAGCTGTGCATGTCCAATTTCTCCACACTATTTGTTGAAAAGGTTATCCTCCTCCATTGAATTGATTCTGCACCTGTGTCAAAAATCAGTTTGGCATATTTGGATGGCTCTATTTCTGGATTTTCTACTGTATATTATGAATGTATGTGTATGTGTATGTAGCAATATGATAAGTTTTGAAATACCATAGATTGATTCTACCCACTTTATTTTTGTTTTGAAAACTGTTACAACTATTCCAGGTCTTTTGTTTTTCCACGTAAGTTTTAGATAATCTTGTCTCTATCTACAAGAAACTTGTTGAGATCATGATAGAAATTGCCTTAAAACTATATATTAACTGGAGAAGAATTAACATATCTGCTATGTTGAGCCTTGCAATCCAAGAACATGGCATGTCTCTCAATTGATTCACTTATCAATGTTTGGTAGTTTTCAGAATAAAGGTTCTGTCCATGTTTTGTTAGATTGAAAACTAAGTATTTTGTTTTTCTGAGTGATTGTAAGCAGTATTGCATTTTTAATTTTGGGGTCCTTGTATTCATTACTAGTATATAAAAATACAATTGATTTTTGTACGTTTACCTTGTATTCTGTGACCTTGCTGACCATATTGATTAGTTCTGGGTTAAGGGCTATACCAGCTGCCTTTACATGAAGAAGTGGTTTAGCATAATTATTAAACTTGTTTAAAATAGCTTATGACATATTAATAATTATTAAATGGCAGTTATGTAGACATGTTTTGTAGGAGAGAAAAGCATCAGGGAAATCAATTACTGAATTAAAAAGAAACATCTATACATGCAGACAGATCTTGAGACGTGAAAATAAGATCTTTAAAAGAGAAACTGAAAAAAGAAAGAGGCAGAACTGTAAAATGATTTCCATTTTTTAACTGCAAGAGACAGTTAACCAAGATCCAAAAGGACCCTGATGCAGAGGGTCTGAGCTGGCCTGTAGCGGCCGCACTGGCCGCACGCTCCTGTCAGGCTGCCTTCTTAGGAGAATGGATTCCTAGAGAAATGCAAATTAAGTAAATATTGATTACGGTTGGTCCACACAAAATCTACTTAGCTCTTCCTCCAAGGAGACTTGGATCCCGTTTGGCTGTGATCCTGTAAAATCTACTTAGCTCTTCCTCCAAGGAGGGTTGGATCCCATTTGGCTGTGATCCTGTTAGAGAATATTGCTATGAAGGGAAAGAATACAGTTTGTGTATAAAAAAGCAATTTGCACCTGCACGTTAATGGTCTCCTCATTAACTGGCCAAATAACTATTCATAGCAAATTATTTAACTGCATATCTACATTTTATGATCTGTTCTAGTTATCAGCACTGGTACTGAGAAGGGAATGCTAGAAATCAGGAGCCGCAGACTGCAAAAGGCAGCTGTTTATTCCCCGTCCATCTGTAGATAAAGGAACCAGGCTGCCAACAGTTCGGATTGTTTGCTTCTTGTCAGAAGGTTGGATCCAAGCAGAGTGGGGAACAGGACATGATGATATTTATTTCATTCTATTAATAACCAGCCATATTTAGATACTGAAAAATAATCTTCTAGTTGGGAATTTGTGGTATTATTCTAAAATTTTAAATTTTGATGAACTTTTTCTAGATTAATTATATTTTTGAGGTTATTGTTGCTTTGTTTGTTGCTGTATGAAAAGCTTATGTTACATAAAACTAATAAAACTGGAGAAAGGGAAATGAGACTTCTCTTTATTTTTCGCCCTAAATGGGAAACAACCACTACACTTTTACTGGTGTTGGGTGTAACACATTGGTAAGTGAGAAATAAAGATTAAACAATGTAATTACCTGGGTAAATATAAGAAAATACTTGTAAAGCCCAATAAAATAGAAGTGTTACATAATGATATATGTACACCTAGTTGATGAATTAGGAATGTGAAACAGGACAGTAAAAACAAATGAAAAAGTCTAATTTCTTGGAAAATATTTTGCATTATAGGCTTTTAAAAATATTTAGCATGTACAGTATTACACAATTAAACAAAATACAAGATAGTAAGAAGAAAGTAAGAAATTACTTTTTCCTACCTTTAAACTTACCTCTCAAATAAAGTTGACATTTACTTTATATCTGTTGAAACTTTTATCCATATATCCATGTTAAGAAACAACTTTTACATATAATTTTTATTAAAATTAATTTTACTATAAATGACATTTTTATCTTTTTAATGGAAAAATATTTCATAACCTTATCTCTGTGTTAATGATGATAGTTCTAGAAGACTTTTTAAATTTATTGCATTTTATTCTTCTATATCAGTGTATCATGATTCATTTTGCCAGTCATTTTGTCAGATACGTACCAAGGCACTTTTAATAATATGTAACCATAATTTGCAATTAGCTCATTTGTTACTTTATAACATATTTTAAATAGAAAGACATAGATTTCAATCACTGTCTTTGTCAGAAACATGTCCCTGTTTCTAATAAACATATATATTATATAATTTCTCTCTATATATATATGTACTTATAGATATAATTACATATACTTACTATATATATAGTTTCAATATTAGTATTGACCTTTCTCTTACTATGAACATTTTCATGGAGAACATTTAACATTGTTTATGAAAATGGAACATGATTAAGATGGAATAATGATTAAAAATTAAAAATCATTTTTATAACTCAAAACCTCCTGGCTGTAATATAATAACTAGCAGGGACAAACAATTAAGAAAGTCTGAAGTGAACAAACTGCTTCTTATTTAACACAACTGCTTTTTTCCCTGTAACTGGTTTTAGTTTGAAAAACCTAAGTGCTGAGAATGTATGACAACCTTGGAAAATGATAATGTTAGTAGCAAAAAATATGCCATTATACTTGAACAAGAGCTAAAGGTAAATATACTTTACATTGTGATACATAGCTTTGCAAAGTAGATAATTGTAGTTATTAAAACAAAAGAAATCCAAAACATTTCTTGTAAGCATTTTCTGGAAATTACTGAACTTTTAAAATGCTTTGTTTTCTACCTAGTTTAACTTTACCCTCATCAAAGTAACATTTTCTTCATGTAATTTTTGTTTTGGGATTTAAAAATATTTTTTTGAATACATACAACATCCATGGGATTAAAACACTTAAAAGTCCACAAAAAATAAACACTGAAATATCACGCATCATTCAATCCATCTCAGTCCCTTTGCCCCATTTTTTGTTATTTCCTATTCATCCTTTCAGGGTTGATGTACCTTGGAGAATATATCCTCTCTTAATCAAGTTGTGGCATAATAAGGACATTCTTTCACATGTTTCTTTTTTCACTTAACAGTATGTCACGGAGACATTTATACCTATCAGCCTACAGAGCAGCTGCGCTGGTCCCTCCTCCCCCCCCTCCCGCCCCCTTCTTTTCTCCCTTCTCTCTGCTCCTTCCGTTCCGTTCTAGTTCCTCCCCTCCCCCTCCTCTCTTCCTTGTTTCAGGACCTTCCTTAGTGTGGATGTGCCATTGTGGATTTAAATGGGCCCGTAATGATAGGCATTGGCGTTTTTCCAATCCTTTTTTTCTCCCATGG